TAGCCATAAATCACATTATTTTCTTACTATATTAAGATGCAAGACAGTTTGGCAACCAGTTAACAAAGACAAATTAGGCAGGGTGGAGAAACACTTAAGCTGCAGCGGGTTAAAAACCATCTAAGCTAGAGAGACCTAAACCAGCGCAGTTATACAAGGTGCTGGCACATGGCGACGCTCGGCACGGCACGCTTGCAGCCAACTCCTCGAGTGCCCGGCAGGCCTGCCAGGGCCCCTTCGGCTGGAATGTCGGGAAAAGGTCCAGGGACCATCTGGGTGCCGCTTTTTTGGACACCTACCAAAGAGCACATCACCAAAGCCACAGTTTATCTGTGCAGGGATCGCATAGTTTTTCCTAAGAACGAAGGCTTCTGGTAAGACAGTTTATAGTGCAATCTGAATTAATTTGTGCCCACAGTGTCATCATTCATTCTTCCAAAACAGTTGAAATATAATCATGTAGGATTTTGCTATCTCCGTAAAGATATTACAAAGTAGTGCTTATACAACTGGTGACTACCCAGATTCAATTTCAATAAATGTATCTCTTCGTGCTTTTGCGAAGCTACAAGCATCAAAGCAAGAAGCGACAAAAGCAGCCAAGTACTTTTGTGTCTTTCAAAAGCTATTAAAATTCTCAGGGTTCCAAAAAGTTAATATACCTTATCGCGCCGGAAGCACACGCCATGTTCCGCTTAACAGCTGCTCAGAGAAGAACAAAACCTAATTCTGCTTGCTCTTTGCCAACGTGTCACCAAGTTACAACTCCTGCTGCAAAGGCAGAGAGGTTGCTTTACTCCAGACAAGCAAGTTCAGATACGTTTCTGCTTGTCAGTGTAGCTGTGTGCTTAACTACGGAATTTGCAACATGAGCTATATCGCACATACACAGCTACGTATTATTTCTACTGAACACAGAAAAAAAAAAAAAAAAATCAAGCACCAGGAGCTTCAGCTCATAAACACGTGGTGTTGGCCCTAAGAAACCTAGCTGGTAACAGCTGTAGCTTGAACACAAACATATAAAGTGAACATTTATTCAGCTTGAAAAGCACATACGCAATAGCTACCTTGATAACAACAGATCTAAAGACAGTATCAGGTTAACATCCTATTGATACACGATTTTTGTAAATGGAATATTTTATAAAAATAAGAAATGGCAATGCTTCATTGAAATAACAGATTTAAAATTTGCTTCTTGAAACAACTGCTATTCAATCGGTATGGCAACATGCAAGCAAGTTAAGTAAAAGCACCAGATTTCTTTTCAGTCTTTAAATGACTGTAAGGTTAAAGTCACCAAGAGGTGTTTTTTTTTCTTTTAAAGAGCCTTGAGTTAAGACAGAGTGAGAGGGGGGAATACTTCTTAAAAAGCATCTTCAAGAGATCCTTACCTCATTGCAAAACTTTTATTTTACATATCTTGCTGTGAAAACATCAAGCCTTTTTCAAAGCCCTCATCAGTAGCATTTTTAACTAAAAATAATTTTTAAAAAGCTTAAAATTCAGACATTTTAAGTCAACTGCATTTGGTAGAAGCAACCCATGGTCAAGCTAAATGATTCTTTGTACATCAATACTGCAAAAAGGGAGAGCAACTAGCAGTGTTATATCACACTTTACAAGAGCTATCAGTTGGATTTTAAAGTGTTTTGATTTCTGTCTGTTGTAAGATTATAATTGCTTTTTAAAAAAAAATAAACAAAAAAAGTCTCCTTTGGTAAGTCAGGAGACAACTGTTTAGGCAAGTGTGGCAATAGCAGGAAAACACACCAATCAACAGGTTATAATATATAAATACAGCTGAAGATACAAATAAAATAGTCCTTTTATTTGCAATGCATGCCATGCACAGACAGAAAGTTAGAGAATTTTTAGAATTCTGACATATTAATGCTCACCATACTAGTGTACTTCAGGTAGTTTCAAAAAAGACCATGAATGCACACATGCTTGGAGGCATCTTATTAACATTTACGTATGGACTATGTAGATTCTTGCAGACCAAGGTTCAGCACATACATGATCATTTCACAACACCACTTTAGGAAAATGAGACTCAGAAAGTGCTTTCATAATTTTGAATGTGAATGGTTTGAACAGGAAACAAATATTGTTATTTTGGAAAGAAATCACAGAAGATTCAGTTCATATTTTTCCATTAAATATGGTATTTCAAGGTTGCTTTGGAAACAAAAATGAAACACGCTTCCTGCAGATTCACCCCTCTGGTACTCAGCAACTTCTGACTTGACAGCTTCAGCCTCACATGCAACCCCGCAGCACAGACAAGCTTTAAAGCATTCTGCAAATATTTTAGCTTGTACACGGAGACTAAAGCGGTTTTGTATCACAGAAATTCAGAATCCTTGCTTGTCTCTAAGTAGTGCAGAACCTTAGAGTTACATATGAACTTCAGGATGTGAGTGACTGTCAGGATGACGTCTAGCAAACACCTGAATTCATCTTACCAAACACTATGGACACACAGACAGGTCTGTGAAAGACTGTATGCTTCTGATTTTAAGACTATCATTTTTGTAAGCAACAAGTCTTCAAATACACACAAAATTTAAAGTACGTAAATGCAAAACATGGCTTTGTAACTTATTTTCTTACGAGAAGTTTCATTCTGACAACTAAATTATCTGGACAAGCACCTACATGTCCTTAAGAGTATTTTCAGACGAGTTATGCCTTTAAAACTGACAAAAAGCCCCAACCCATAGACCCTCATATATAGTCAAAATACAGCGTAGTTACTTTTCTCCAGTTCCATGGGGACATAAAGATAGATTTCTAAAAAGATTTGGATTTGATGCCCTGTTTTTTTTTAATTGTAATTCTGTTCTACAAACAATGATCCAGTTAGAGTGAAAAACCTCCATGCGCTATATGTCAATGTATTAATGACATTGTTTTATTTACACAATAATTTTCCAGTGTTAGGTAACATGTTATACAGAAATTACAATTCTTTTAATTTCCATATCTTGGTGAACTGAAGCTGTTGTTGACTTTCTAAAATGTAATGATGTGTGTATTTATACGCAACAAGACCACCAAGCTGTGCCAAGTATTTAAAGACCTTAATTCCCACATAGCACTACCACCCTGTTCTTTTCTAATATTGTGAAAGATCTTCATAAGATTTTTTGCAAAATAATCCTACCGAGTAGCCCTTTCTATAGCCCTTTCTGCAGAAACAAAAATCACCTTGAAAGAACACTTTACACGATTGAGGCTTAAATACTTCTCTGTCATGTAACCAAATAAAATTGGAATCATGCTAGGGTACATTATTACATTGAATCCTATTAACAGAAAAAAACCCCAGTGATTTGTGCACATCCTTTGAAGAAGACATGTATAAGATTTTCTGAACAAAATCAGAAGGTTAAAGCATAGTCCTCAAACACAAAGGAGGAATCAACTGCTTGCATTCTCAACACGCTAATGTTTTAGTGCCTTTAGAACTGAAAATGAATTCATTAAGAAATACAATGCAACTTGAGCAGTCAATACTCAAGTCTACTGTAATTTAAAAAGTGATTATTTTTAGCATAACCACACTAGCAAGTTATTCTGTATATTTCAGTGAAGCAAAGCTTTAAAAAATTTGTCAAGAAATAGAACATTCCTTTTTTGTGTGTTTTAAGGGAGCAATAAATACTCTCCATAAACATTGTTTATAGAAATGCAAGAGCAAACTTTCTGAGATAGAGGTTTGGGGTTTTTATTTTTTTTTTTTCCCCCAAAGATTCCACTACATGATAAAAAATGAAATGAATGTGTACTCCTGGCCACACTGATAACGTCACAGCTAGAATCTCATCAGCTAGTTTATGACAAGCAACTGCAACGGGTGTAAACAAAAGCCAGGGGACAAAGCTTGGCTGCAGGTTGGCTGTATGATACTAATATTGAAAGCAAGATTTAAAGTAAACTCATCTGGAATTCCGACCCAAATTAGGGAACAGTAAGAATGACACAGTGAAGGTACACTTGGGTGCAATTTCATGCTGGTGACATTTTTCCTCTTTTTATGCTCAGAGCAGATTTTAAACCAGGAATTGCATATCCAGTGACACACACACACAATTCAAAACTTAAGAGACCATTAGAACATTTGTACACGTACTTACATAAACTTAGTATTTACATATTCTAAACAAAGTTCCATTTTAACAGTTGAAGTCTTTCAACACACGAAAGAAGATAAGCTACTACAAAGAATGCATAACGGGATCACAAATTTTCCACAAGCATATAAACACGTTTTAAAGTGCTTTCTGGGTGCATCAGATTAACCCCTTGCAGTATGAGCTTCTATGTAGTGCTGTTCCAGTCATTACAAAATTATTTAAATCATTCCCCTTCAGGTGCATTGTGAGTTCAAGAAAAGTGACAACACCGTTGATGTAAGAGTTTTAAGCTCTACCAACATAAACGTATACATTACTTAGGTTCTGATGAAGCTGTCAAATACTTTGGTTTATCATAGCTTGGGATAAATATTTGATAGAACAGAAATTGCACCTCTCCACTCTAAGTTTTTCATTAGAAAAATACCCTAGCACAAATTGACAGTATTCTTTGGTAAAAACAGGACATTTGGCCAGTTTGCGTGTGTATCTATTTATTAAAATAGTCTAAAAGTGAACAAATGCCACTGCTGTACTGTCAATTTACAGGAATAACCATTCCTTACTCAGCGGGGAGTATCAAAACATTAACCTTACCAGTTAGCTATATAACAAGCTGAAACACCTTCAGCAACCATTATAGGGGATCAATAATGTTTCAGAATACTTTTTGCTTAACATTTATCCTTTACGTTACAAAAACTGTAAAATGCTCTGTGCTCACAGACAAGTCCATTACTTTGCAGTGACTACAGAAACATTGCTCAGTGGTGTACACTGTTAGCTTTCTGATAAGTGTGGAATAAAAACCATTAATACGGTGTGCTGACCAACCATTATTCAACTGCACAGTATTTGTGCATTACCTACACTGAGTACTAAGGAAAGCCTATTAAAAATTCAGTTAACTGCTACAGGTTACTTGAATATATAAAAACAGAGCAGATCTACAAGTATAACACTGAACATACTGTACTTTATTAGCACAAAAAGCCAGAACAAGGCACAGCAAGCAGAAAAATACATCAATAGAAGGGTTAGTGTAGCATACAAGAATAACGTTTATTGTACTTGCAGCCAAAATGTTCCCTACCTCGCACAGGTCACTGCCATAGAGAAGGAAGTAGTAACATACTGTAGCAGCTGGTAAAGAAACTAGGGAGCACTCGTAATCGGTACAAACCATTAAACAGGGGTCAGGGCATTCCAACAAAATTTTAGTGCAAAAATGTTTAAGACAGAACTATTTTCAGTTCCATCTCCGATTAAATAAACAGACAGAACTTAGAATCTTCTTTCCAAGTAATCTGTTGAAACTATAATCAGTGCATATTACTTTAAAACATTTTTAAAAGCGCAAATGGAAAGATATTTACAAATAAAGTGTAACAGTACCTTTGAAACCTGACACTTCAGATATGTCAGATTTTGTATTCCGATCATAATAATTCAACCACCTGTAATTTTTTCCACAAAAATATCAGACAACTTTAAATAATTAAACATTTTTTCTCTTCACTATTGCCTTCCATTTCAAGTTACTAGCAGCCAGGCCACCAAATTCTGTTTTAGAAAAAAACGCAACCTTTTGTTTCATGGCAATGATCTAACCCTGTGTCCTGCCACTGAATCAGTAACTCACACTGGAAGGTATTTAGCTGTCCAAGATAGTATTACTTTTGCTAACAATGCCACTTAAATCTCCAAGCGTTTAAAATAGAATTACAGTACTGAGCAGACATATTCAAGTCTTCATGATTAGGAAACCTTATATACTGAGAAAAGCATGATTCATCTGTTAACATCAAAACGCCATTAACTCGTAATGGACTGCTTCTAACGAACTGCTCTTCGCTAAAAGAAAATACTCCTATTAACTAGTATTTGGAAACTTGTTTGTGAGCTAAATTAGTACTTTGAGTAGTGGAAAGTTTTCAAGAAGATAATTTTAAAAAAATACTTCAAATATTAGCAAAAATGCTCCTCTAATGAAGCCTTTATTAGCATTACATGAATGCCCCATGGAAAATGCCTCATAGTTTCTTCATCCAATTACTACAGCTATAAAAAAGGGAAACAAAATACTTAGAAATTAGCAAAAATATTTTCATTAGACCTTAATGAAAAACGTGCAGAATTGTGTCTGCTTATTGTTTCCAAGAGGCATCACAACTTAGTTTGATTAACAGCAGGCAGCATCTGACAGGATACTAACACTCAGCTTAAATAGGATATTGCAGAAAAGCTAGACGTTGTTGGTGCGCTCACTGCGGTTAAACTGTAACACACAAAAAAAAGCATATTCTATAAGCTTATTCTGATCTCCATTTACTTGGTTTTTATAGGTTCCCGCTCCAACCATCGCACCCTGACTTTTTGTTTATAGTGATACTCCTTTAGAAAGTCTTGCAACATTGAGGGTAGAGGAAGGTCATCGATTCCGTCATACGTAGTGCACCTGCAGATTACTGCCCGGCAGATATACTGCAGACTAAAGGGGAAAGTCCTGTTCAGAGACACAGTAAGTAACGGTTCAAAGAACATGCAAGAGCTCGGGTCTTTGTAGTGTTCCAGAAGCCCTGTAACAGTGGAGGAGTGAAACACACAGGGATCGTGGGCATCGAAACTAAAGTTGTGATTCCACTGCTCAATGCGTGCGTGGAGCGATCGGTTGTAACGACGGAAGCTCACAGAGAAGAGGTAGTCCTCTTGCGCAGAATCCCTGAGCAAAAAAGTGCCTTCGGGTTTACCCTCCAGAAGTGCTTCTGCTTCATAGCGGTCCATCACACCCCAGTAACATGGGTTACCTGTGATCTGAAGTAAGTCTGGCACAAGGCAATGGATGTAATCAATCTGAGTGTGCACCTTCCAAGCCCCCTGCCTGCTGATATGGCCGTGGCTCTCTGCAGACATCTGCCGCTGCTTCTGCCTGCGTGACTGCAGGCAAAGAGTTGTTGTGTCCTCTTCAGAATCACAGTTTCCTAGAGGTGTTATGTTTTTGTCCCCAGTCAGCTCGGTCATACCAGGGGCTAACTTTGGTCCCAGTTTATACAATGGATTAACCTGTGCTGTAGCTTCAAAAGTATGTATTTGGGCATTGGGAGGGGGATCAACCCCTTCTTCAATACTAAGTCTACGTCTCTCTCTGAGCCTGTCTTCTTCATCTTCTGTGGAAACCAAGGAAGGATCAAACGTGTCAAAAAAAGTTGAATGAGGGCTCACAGGCGCCGTGTGTTGTTTAATCAGATGCCACTTCTGAGCTAGATCTGAGCCTGCAGGAAAAGGGCATTTCTCAAGCATTAGTTCTGAGAGATGGATCTTTCTTTTGTTAGAAAACAGAGGTTTGGACTGTTTGCTGTAAGTTCTCATGGGAAAGCACAGCCCAACAGTATCTTGCAGACGCTGTCGCAGAGAACGGCTACCTACTGTCCTGCTCGATACTGCATCCATATCATGGACAGAGCTCACCCCATACCTTCTCTCCCTCCTCTGCAATCCACTTCGTGTTCTACCAAATCTTTTTTCTGTTTCCAAGGAGCTCTGGGTTTTGGTAGAGCAGGAATGCTTCTTCTTCCCACCCCAAGGAGCATGCCGAGAATAAGAGTCCCTTCGAGCAAGTCTAGCTCCAGTGGCGACACACGAGTCATTCTCCTTCTCAATGCTTATCTCAACAATCTGAGGAACTTCTGTGACACAGTTTTGGTTCCGCCTTGTCGAATTCTTTGAAGGACTTAAACCTAATTGCAAAGCAATATTTTCTCTCAAAGGGCTGCTGGGTTGTTGTTGAGCCAAATCAGTTATCTGGATAGCTTTCTCTTTAGTAGACGAGCAGCCACTGGAGTTCACAACTACATTTTCATTTTGGCTTCCACCCTCATGACTGAAGAGATTCTGGCACCTGTATTTGAAATTGTTCCACATCTTTCCCACTTTATCCATGGATTACGTTATCTAAATTCAAGAGGAAAAGAAACATTAAAATAAAAATATAGTTTAAAAGATAAGGATACATCTTCAGTTATCAATTAAGTTACAGGCATGAGACGATGTTAATTGAACACACTACATTTGAAAAAGTGCTCTAGTGTTTGTATGATTATCTGGAAGTGACATGTATCACACCATTTTGGTATTTATCAAATCACCATGAAGAAAATGTCTGGGAAATTACAAACATTTTATTTACAGGCCCTCCCATTTTTCTTGAGGCACATAGGTAGGTCTGCATAGTTGTATTTGATGGACAGGAAACATGCAGTCTAAAATTCTTCAAGTTAGGAAGAATTTGTAAGTCATACGTAATATATGACTCCCTGATAACCTTCCAATAAGCAGCAGTAAAACAAATCATGAAAAAGAACTATTCAAGTCATTCCTAACTGTGAGATCAGTTAGGGAAGTCCAACAAGTGCACTGCAAATGCCCAGATACACCATCTGAAAACAAAAGCTGTGGCCATAGGTCAGAAATTCCAAGCTATAACTGACAAGATTAAAAAAACAGTACAAAACCAGAAATTTAGGGGGGAAAAAAAGCATTCAGCACCAAAAGACAAGGAAAGGCAGTAAGGTATCTGCCGAATTTTAGAATTATAAAGTCTCTGATACATTAATAAAAGCCATACACATGAAACATCTAAAAAAACCCACCTGTCTGGCTTTATTACTTAAGATATAAAAGAATGAAAGAGCCCAAGGAGCTTTTCTATCTTTAGTAAGAGCACTTAAAAAGAAAGCAGCTCCACAGCAGAAACGATGACAGTGAATCATGAAGACACAGTAAAAAGATAAAAACATTAACAGTGTGTATTCTGCAGCTACTTCTTTAGAAACCAAGTCTGATAATTGGAACAAGTCTGCCAAAAACATAGGACTGCCCTAGGACAGAGAGAAACAGGCTAATTCTGTACTAAAAAAAAAATTCAGGCAATGCCAAGATAAATTAGATCTAATTAAGTTCTGAGAGAAGTGCTAAACTTAAAGGACTAAAACATGTTATCTAATTTAACTCTTCATGGAAACTGCTTTGTTCTTTGGAAACACGTTATTTTGAAGCAACATTCCTGTTGCTGCAGTTCTTTTCTGTTCACAGCTAGAAACGAATCTGAAGTAGTGCTTGAATGCACTGGGTCTCATGAAATAATGTGCATCATAAACAAGTAAGCAACACACTACAGATCCAGTCTAGAAATCCCTTAAGTTAGCGGCCCAGCTGTAAGCCCATGACTTTACAGCAGAATCCACCGAGACTGCGGAGTTGTCAGAGGTATAGCTTACATGAGAGCTATGAAAGGATAATGAGCATGAAACACCTAACTGTTACAGGAACAGAAAGCAAAAGGAGCAAAAGCTTTCTTTCACAATCACTCCTCAGATACTTCAGCAAGCCCAGCAAGCTAGGTATCTGCATCCAATTGCATAAAATAAAACCTTAAGAACTTAGTGTGGATGCAGGGAGGTGAGGTGGGAAGCGGGGAAACCAAGCCTTAACAATCTCAGGAGCTTACTGCTACAAGGTACATAGAACACAGTGCTAATGACAATCTGAACAACACCCAAGTAGACATTAAGGAGGGCGACACTTGCACAAAAGTGTTATACACAGAAGATGCTATAGAGTTCTGTGCATACGTAAAAGTGAAATAGTGTAAGCAGATGAGCAAGGAATGCCTTCTTGATTAAAAAAAAAAAAAAAAATCATAAATTTGTTTTTTCTGGAGTTGTCTGGACTAAGCTGGGGGACTTCCAAGAACAGCAGAACTAATAAAGTCAGATGACATACAGATTTGTAGGAACCATACCACCATGCATCATGCCATCACAAAAATCATAGCTGTTTGCGGTATCTCAGAGTATCCACACTGACCAGGAGGCAGCACGTTTGCTGGCTGCCAGCCTGTCAACACAGTACATATAAGGTTGACTTCTACCCACTTTCCTCTCAAGTTGTACGTTTCTTTCTCTTCCTAGTCAGAGATGTTTAAAGTTTTCGGGAAGGGAAAATGAAGAGAGAGTATGTAACCTCCATGCCCTTGGAAAATCAGGCTAGAAACAGTACACATGCAACAATGAACTGGAATTACTTTTCTAATCAAAGTCATACGGTGGTGTCTTATTCTAAAGTTGCTCATTATTGCTCTCCCTTTGCACTATTAGTCTAGAATGTCTTTAGACTGTTAGATGGGTGGAAAATTCTCTACACTTGCCTAGGAAACTTCAAGAACAAAGAAAAAACAAACAACCACCCCCACATACACAAAGCCCCCACCATACTGGCTTGACAGACTGTGCTGTTCAAAAGTTAAATTTAAAAGGTTAATTACTGCTTGTCATACTCAAGAGAATATAGATACCCTTCTTACCCAGAAAAGCATATGAGTCGCTGTATCTTGTCTTCAGAATATACCTCAACATGAACTTGCTAGATTCCTTCTCTGAGTTGTAGACATGATTACTACAAAGAGAAAAAAGGTATTTTTGTTAGTTGTTAGAATATCTTCTAATTTAGATATTTACAATTAGCCACTGGTATCAAAGGGATATTTTGCTAATTATATCTTAAATGCATGCATGGAACTGCCCGCTTATTATATATTTTTAATGCATATTAACATAAACAAAAAGCTTCACAGAACTTTCTTTTTCATCCATTAACAACAATTGCCAAATAGAGTCCAGGGGAGGACCCCCCAGTGACACTTTTGAGAACAAAGAACAAAGCCACAGCACCCGGATCACTGCAGTGCCAGGCACAACGGGCATACTCAGGCCTGCAAAAACGGTTTCCCCACATTTTGGTCTCAAGGCCAAAGCAGCGGTTCCCAAGCTGTGGTTGGCAGCGCTGTCAGATCACCTCATACTGCCTCTCCTCCTTGTTTCCAGCTGCTACATCACATCAAAAGGCAGCTAAAAATACACACTTTTCTAATATTACTTTTCCAGGTAAGCAACTGCTGTACTTGCCACAAAGATGTTATACGATTGTGAAGCAAGAGGAATATGAACCATGATTCTAAAAATGGGGAAGCGGAATACAAGACAAGTTCTTCATTAAAAGAGTAGGTCAGCACTTTGCTAAAATAATAATCATTGTCTTTCAGAAACCCAAGAGGAGTAGAGGGATTTAGTACACTCACACTGCTGTCAGAAATGTAACAGTAACAGGACAGAGGAGAATAAATTTGCTTCTCCACCCTAAAACCAAGCCCAGGACAGCAGTAAGAGCTAACAGAAAGCTTTAACTTAAGTTCCCAATGTTTTACATGCAGAACAGGAAGAAAAATATTAAAATATTATGCATATTTACTGGAATAGAAATCTATGGGGTTGAGCAATCACTAGGTGAATATTAAAAGTTAATATTCCTAGGCAGAAATCCCAGAGTAATGTCAGAAAAGTACCAAACATTATTAGTTTCCATTTACCTCTTGAAGCACTAACATTCTGAAATGCTTTTAAAGTTAGGCCATACTACCACTACTGAAAGATTCCATAAAAGTAACTTCTCCAGAAAGCACAGTTACAAGTAAAAACATCTTAGTACAAAATGAAGATCAGAGCAAAAGTTCTTTTGCAACTTTAACGTTTACACTGATTTCTTTTTTCCCCATTGTGTTCCTATCAAGTCTACAAACACGGGACGGTCAAAGCTACTGTAATTGCTTCAGAGCAAGGCCGTAACAGAACAAACTAAAGGTGAAATTGCTAGAATAAGGGCTATACAATTTTCAGTAAAGCCTTCCTTAAAACATTAGGTCATGGAGGCCTCTGAAGACTTACCTGCATTCCAAATACAACCAGTAACGCTGTTTTACTGAGCATAGGTTGCAAAGCAGCTGCATACTAGCCATTTTAACTCACTGAAAATCTAAACAGGATATGGAAGCTATCCTGAAATTCCATGCTTAATGGTAGTTATCTTAACTTTATACATCATTATTATTCCTCAGTTCTGCTCAGAAACATGAACCGTCAACGTACATCCCATCTCATCACCTTTGCTAGCCAGCGGGCACAGCCTGTTGGGCAAGCTGCCCGGCGGCTGCCGGAGGGAGTGGTTGCTTTGGGAACCATCCCTTGCTAATGGAAAACAGTTTCTTGAATTTGGGTGACTGTCTCAAACCTCTCAACCGTGTATTAGAATAAAACTTGAGTCACTGGTGAAGTATTTAATGTTCAATCTAGTAATTTCAAATTAGTTTAAATCAATGTGCAACAGATGTGTGGCTTCACAGACTTTTTTGTGGCAGCGCAAACTAAGGTTGACAAAATACAAATTACTTCTGAACTGGCCTTAAAGCCATCCCTGTTTGACAAAGGAGCACTGCCAGTGGTTATTTTAGCCTAAACAGAAAATAAATTTAATTCCACCAAAATGCAAAGTGAATTCATAAATTTGTAGATTTTCTTAGAAAATGTTACACTAATGTTCCTAAAACAATCTCTTTTCAACTAAAAATTATTTCTGTCTACTTTACACTGGCATAAGTTATCTTAAAAAAAAATAACAGGTAGTAAGCACTCTACATGGATTATAGAAGCAATGAGCAATAGTATCTTAACACTACACTCCCATCTACAGTAAATTTAGAGACATTCAAAGCCATGAAGTTTGCATGAGTGTAGTCTTCAAGTATTCTGAGTGTACAAATGATGAAACTACAAAGAGAGCTAGGAAAACCATTTGTGCAACATTATTTAAATAAAGACAACAGTAACAACCTGTTTGTAATCCTGAAATACCACATATTAATAGATTACTGTGAAAACTCAGACCACTCTTTCCAGAAGTGTCCGAAGATCTAGCCAGCGCTTTCCACCCGTGACTTCCTAAGAGGAGCACTCAAAGCCAAGGTTGTGTTTTCTGTCCTAGAGAGAACACACTTTTTTCACTCTCACAGTATTACCTAATTTAAAAATTAGTCAATATGGTAAATTACATGCAAAATATGAACTCCCAAAAATGCATCATCTTCACAAAAGCTAAAACACTGCATAATGTATGACACCTTACAGAACAAGTATAGTATGCTTATTTAAAAACAAGAATCTATGAGATTCTGTTATGTTATTTCACATCATGATAGCTTCAAAACATTGAAAGATAACAAGGACAAAACACTGAAGGAAAACAAACCCAGACAATTCTTCAAGTCAAAAAAGCCAAACAAACTGAAAGCAGAGGAAAAAGAGGGGAGTGAGAGAAGTCACAGCCTCTCTGCTCCTTGCACACCCTCCAGCCCAACGCTAGCACAAGCCGACCCAGGCAAGCAGGCTAACACATTCAGCGACAGGGGGGCACATCCCCTTGGACCACGAAGGCAGAAGCAGACAGAAAGAAGGGAGACTACACTTCTGTTTGGATTGTTCCTTCCTTTAAAACGATTCACCTTGTAGTGACGAGAGACTCCATTATTAAAGACATTTGCTTCCATTAAGGTACACTTGCTCAAGAGGTTAATGTCCTATTTGCACACTGCCAAATGCCTGGTATAGGCTACCGCTCCTAGGGATGCGCCAACAAAGCTGCTCACATAAGCACTCCTCAACCTTATTCAGTCAAAATGAATAAGGCTGGCACACACCTACCATTTGAAGTAACCCACTTGAGGAAGGAAGAAAGGGCAATAATAAGGATTACAAAGCAATTTCCTCCCTTCCAATACACATTCCAGAAATAATGAATTACTACTGCAATACTAGAGACAACACTTCTTAAAAGACAAGGAATATGTTGGCTTAAGCAGAACCATGCATTTTTCTATGCACACACAAAAACTTGCTCCCTGCAGACACTTTGAAGAATTGATCTGGAGGGCTGCAAGGAAGGGGTGGCTGTTATTTGTTTAACTAGACAAGGTAAAGGGAATTTGGAAGTGTAGTTGCCTATGGAGCAGAATCTGAAGATCTGAACCCTCAAACTGAAACTCAGACCTGCCAAGAAGAGGTAAAGGATACCAAGCTGTAATTCCAACAACACACAAAATTGGGGTAAGTCAGCACTGCAACCAAATGAAACGGTGTCTGCCTCTCCTGGCCACCTGTGCTGGTGCAGGACATGGTCTGTACACCATATGGCTGTTCAGTGAACCAGCTCGAGGAACTGATCCAGGCTAAAATGAATTCTGAGAAAATGTCTCAATCATTCACTCCATCTGGTTTATGACTTCTGTGTAAACATTCACTTTAACACAAGGGAGGAGCAGATGAGGAGGGGGAGGCAGCAGCAGGGCAAGACTGCTTCCTTCCACGGGTTTGTTCTGCTCACAGTATTAAGACCTTAGAAGGCTACTTTGAAGAGAAATCTCAGTTTGATGCTTATATATTCATCAGCTGTGGGGCTCTGGCTGCAAAGAGGGAGATTAGGACTATTTAAACTGCTGCTTCGAACATTAATGTTGAAAGTTCAGCCACTGAAAACATTTACTTCAAAAACAAAACGCTGAGTGAGCTTGACATGTCCTGCTAAAACACAAGGAAAGCTACAAGTTTCAAGGACTTAAGCTGGCAGACTGTCAAGTCAAAGAAAAAGAATGATACCTTGCCATCGTTCCAACCTGAAATAAGAAGTAATCTTCTCCCCCTCCTTGGTGCAGTTTCACAATGAGCAAAAAGCAGTCTTAGCTTGGATAGCTGACGTTCTGCCAGTTTCTTTCCAAGCAGCTACACATTGGTAACTGCCATTCAAAAGTATCATTCCAAGATACTTTGAACAGTGGGATGCATCGTTGTAGCCCCTTACTAGGCTTTGGGGTTCAAAAAGGACAATGTCAGGACTACATGTGTTCACATTAGATTAGAAAATACTATACAGTTGTCATCCATTTCTCTTCTGTTCAGAAATTCTAAAATCCCTGAAACAGAAAAACTATCAATGGAAGAACAGAACATGAACAACACCGAACCAAAAATAAAGAGGCAGTTGTTTCTGAAGTAGTCTTTTCCCTGTACTTACACCAGTCTAGTGGATAACAACACAACCATCATGAACAAAGCTAGTATTTCTAATTATATAAGGAACACAGAACCACACACAGCAAGCATAAGTTTCAGATATTCATATAGAAATAATGTTATGCAGATCTACTGAGAACGCCACATACCAGTAGATACCTACGATACAAGCTCTGCAAATTCAATGCAATGATGCATATTAATTCCAAGTACAGACACCCTCAAATCATTTAGGCAGCATCCTGAAGGCCACTCATAACATGTAAATCCACACAAGCAACATTAAATGGAAGCAGTTCCCTTTAAATGACCTCCGCATACCCTAAGTAGGCATAACTTCACCTTATTTGAAAAAGTAAAAGAACAATCATTTAAGTTATCAAAGTAAGGTATCCACTACAGAAGAGGATTCTAGGTGACTCGCTGAAATAATGTTTTCTGTACTGCTATGTTTAACTATCCTCAAAC